CTCAGCTTAAGGGCTCATCTAATTCCATATGACTCATGGTTGCGAAATTATTGCATGTTCAGTGAAATCAATTACTATGCATTATCCCAACTTATATATGAGTCAGACATTTCATTTTTGTAATCTGTGATGTATCGTCGACATCTAAATCGATCGTATACAGGTATGACTCAGATCACACAGAATACGAGGTTATGAAATAGTGGAGAATATTTGTAGCTCAGGTGGATGGTCTTGGTCGTATTGTGTTCTCTGAACTGGGATGTTTAATCGTGAAGCTTTCACCATACTGAAGTTAGTGCTGATGATGTCGTCTAGAAAGATGAAGAAAGCTTCACGATTAAACAACTCAGCTCAGAGAACACAAATACAACCAAGATAATACAAGGTTAGAAAGACGTTAGCTTTCATAAGTCTTAAACTCTAGAACAAGTTTAACTGTGAACATTTCAGGCAAAAATGTCAATAATAATAATAGATGATATCTTAACACCCTTGTGTCCTTTTCCTTGTCTTGTAGACTACTTTACTGTTAAAAGGCGACGACAGTCAGTGAAATAATGATTCCTCAAAAAAGGTAAATTTCTTTCCTTTTTCTTCGAGTGTTGGGTATTTTATGATGCGATAAATATGCTTGTACCAATAATCTACACATTAATTAACTGAGTCATTGGTTCATATATCTGAATATTTCAGCAGGTGGTGGGCTCGAATCCTCCTGTGATAAACATCATGTTTACGTTAGTAATTAGTATTATTCACCTTTGTATGATAGAAACACCTTAATTACAACTGATAAGCAACAAATTTCCAACTGTATATCCTATCATCAGTTTCAAACTTTCATACCGGGAAAAACAGATTTCTTGATGACGAGAAGGGTTGATTTCTTAATGTTTCTGTTTCTATGCAAAGTAGCCGTACCAACTGTGGTCATACTCAGATTCAAAAACGTTTTGCTAAACCGTACAAATTCTGTACTATCTCTCTTGATGGCCAAAATGTGCAATCAGAGACCACATGTATGAATCAGTACCTGAACACCTCGTCATTTTTGCTTTCATTTGGAGTCAGATTTATGAGCAATGTCATCGTAGTCATTAATTCTAGATAGTTGAATTCATCAAAATGTCTTGGTTCCCACCAGTCACTTGAATGAAAGGGGTATATTTCAACCGTAGGTACCCTTGAAAGGATTCATAGTTCTATAAATATCAGTCAGATTTTGAGGGAGTTTATTTTGTTATAATTTAGTTGGTTATGGCCAATAGGGATGCACATTTCATCTGATTCTCCGCTCATCAGTTGGGGATATCAGCGATGGTGCTCTTACTGAGGCTTAAAACTACAGGAGCTCGTTTTATTGGAAATGAAAAACCCTACTAGCAACTTATATGACTGAAATCCTTTCAGTTTGATTTATGGTTCATCTGTCAACAGAGTACACAAGCTAACCTACTTCTCACAGTAGACAATCATGGTAGGACCGCTTGAAAACACATTTAGCATAAGCTGCAGATAATTTACAGTTATTTCTTTTACATATTTTCCACTGCCTGCATAGCTCAACCAGTCCGTTAGGGAAAAAGAAATACGATAACAATGACTCACCTATGTGAACGACAATAAGGACAGATGTATAATTAGATTTCCTTTGTGTATGTGATTAATTCAACCCCCTGCTAGGTCTAAAACATTTTACAATAGAATTTTGATTGGCAGACACAAAGAGAGGATCGTGCCTATTTTCTCCCTGTCATCTATATCGCATTAATTAATTAAAACGGATATGTAAGACGAAGAAAATATGCCCCTATGTCTTTGTGCCATATGGTGGGATTTCTTTATCCTTTGTATTTACCCATCTGGTTTTTATGCATTTTCCTGATTAAATTGAGTGTTTGTCCTTAACCGCCTCACACACGTGTGTCTATGCACACATAGGCAAGTAGGGATAAATGGTAGATAGAAAGACAGTTACTTCCTAAAGGTTCACACACAGTTTTGTTCTCTACTAACTCACACGTGCTCAAACTGACATAAAGGATAAAAAACTCAGTTAACATAGATGCTTTCCTCTCGCAATAATGAATATATTCATTCCTTGCCTGTTCATTATTTCATTCTAAACCAGACTATATGATTAGGGATATACTGAAATTGTAATTTTCCACACGATTCACAACAACGTCCTCTCAAAATAGTTTCTAATTTAATTGTTTCCCCTCCATATGTTCAAAATAAGTAATTTCGATTGTCCATTTAACAAGTTTAAATGAATCGAACAACGATCATGTTATCTCGTGCAACTTAACGGCTGCACATATCTCCACACCTAGGAATTCAAGCCAACTTCAGAATGACACTATTGAAAAATTGTACCATGAGATTCCTTTGTAGCATCTGACGGGATTAATTCCCATCTAATATTTCTCTCAACGTCAAAGATCTTTCTGGTTTACATAAACTGCTAAGTCAACCCTATAAACAATCAACTTTTATTACTGCTTGTTGATGTACTTGTAATTCACCGTTGTTAGACTGGATCGAATTACTAGACCTCTGTTGGTATATAGACTCCTATGCGGATGCCTCAATATTGTCTGAATATTTATCATAGTAATTCACTTGGTTGTGGCTAGCAGAGGAATCCAGGAAGCAATAAGAAAATCACTCACTGAGGTGCAAGTATATCCAGCTGACGAGTCCTAAATAGGACGAAACGCGAGTGCTAGATTCCTCTGTTAACTATAACCAAGTAAGTTACCGCAAATCAACTTTTGTTTAAAGTTCATCGAAGTCACCACCTACCTAGATAAAGAATGATCTCGAGATTTTATTGAATGCTGTTGTAGGAGCAGTGCATTATCTCAGCTAACCGGTATGCTATACATATCACGGTATACTCAGGAAATTCGTGAACAAAACAACGTTTGAAGCGATAATCATTCAGTTTAAGTGTTAAGACATTTATTTTGTCCAGAATGAAGATTTCTAGGAACTGCATATATCTCAATAATGATTTATTTGACTGTGTTATCCAGTAGTGTACGCAGCGTTAGTGTAACATTTCTAACTGTTCACACCATTCAGCAGCTTAATTTGTTGTATATCTGTTATTTCGGGTTTAGTATACTCATTATTAGATTCAGTACAGACACTTCAAGTTATTTGCTTTTTCTGAATAGCAATAAAAGGGAGAGAAACGCATAGTTCCCCTATATCAACAAAGAACACCAATCAGAGTATCTGTACTTCTCTGTTCGTTTCTCATTGTCAGTCAGTGGTTATATGAACTTAGGTTATATATTAGTTTGATAATAAGTTGCTTTCCTCAGTTAACTCATACGTTAACCATTATCATAAATGTTCCAAACTTGATAGTCACAACCTGCCTAACCTATCATTAAATTACTAACTAAACAAAATCATATTTATTATGATTTGACTATCTAAGATAACCGTAGTTTGACAGACTAGTATTTCTACTGGGTGATGATTGAAGGTGAGGTGAAAATCCGGCCGCGGTCCAGATTTTCACCCAGTACAAAATCATATTTCATTGAATTGATGCATGTTTGTGAAATATAGAGTTCAGTTAATAATGAGGACGTATTAAATCAGTCGATCTCCTCGTCTGTGGAACCTATAGACTTGTTGTTCAATCACCTTGCTAATCAGACACCAAACATATAGTAGTTAGAACTAATGACAGGATGCATGCTGCTAACATTTGTTTTATCTACTGCTACAATACAATAATAGTAACAGCAATGTTAATGGTAATAATAAACCCGGAAACAATTAATCTTACATGGTCTCCTAGCTTAATATCAATAGTCGGAGTTGTTAATTATGAACAGGACATGTTTGCCGGTCACTAAATATTTCGTTACTTTTCAAGAAAATCTAAAACAAAACATGCTTTCTACTTGTTTACCAGTGTTTTTATGGCTTGTTGATTTTTGTCAAATTTTGACTACATCTGTACACCAGTAACCAAGGTGAGTCATCTTGGAGACATATATATATATATATATATATATATATATATATATATATATATATATGAGGGCAGGTCAGAGTTTCATTTCCTCGGCCAAGGTCATTTGTATATATTTCAGACTCCACCTGATAAAGCAATATGAATCTTCTGTATACTACACAGGATACAAATTTAACCGGTGGTTGTTTCTGTAAACAATTACAGTTTGATACACAACCATTTCACGAATCATCTGAATTATCATTCCATATCAGATAAGTTCAATGTGGACAGTGATACATAGTTTTAAAATGTGCCACTATAT